ATGGTGAAAAGTATAATCTCTATAATTCTTGAGTTATTTTTTATGAAATTAAATGTCAAAAGAAATCATGTTTCCCATTATTTATTTGAGACTATAATTCCCGATGAAATGTGGAAACGCGTCGAGAGGTGTGTTCTCTCATATGAAAACTTAATGAAAATATTTGTCTCAAAAATCTGCTCAATTATTTAATGGACAGTATTTACTTGTGTGGAGACTAATAGGTTCTAACATTTTATCAAATTAGTAGTTGTAGTCTCATTTAAAATTCATATTACCCTTATTACCATAAAAAATATTATGTTCTTAAAACTATTCAAAAAACTGAATGTTGTTAAAAACGGATTATTATTTAAATGATTAAAACCTATATTTATGAATACTATTTCAATGATAGCTGTATTTATCATCGTGAAAAGGTTATATATTTTTTAGGTAGTGATTAATAAGTAGCTAATAGTCTGTTCCCACTGGAATTGAACCCACGGTCTCAAGATTTGTCTATGAATTTATTAGTATTGTAGACAATATTTCTTTTCATTTTTATTAGATTTCATAGCAATTTATCGCAATAATAATCACTTGTTTTTCTTTAGTATAAGTCTAATGAATGAAACAGATTTATATCACATTTTATATATTATAGAGTATTGAATACGCGTATTAAAGCAAATCATTTGTCAGACCATAAGTCATACGGTTGTCTTAACGCCAGAAATGACTTTCCTTATGAGTTGGATAGTAATTGGAAGGGACGGGAAGGGATTGGGGAACTACACGAGCGAATCAATAATTACTTAATGATTAATGATTTAATTAGTGGACTTTATATAATCATATAATATATATATTGTGGTACAGGTGTTGTGGGCCGTAAGACAATCCACAAAACGATATCAACCATTTTCTTTCTATACTTCGCCTGCATTTTACCCACAATTGCTTTCGGAGTTCTCAACGACAACAACACGTCGGGAAAAATCGGTATACCTTTCAGACCACTACGTGTCATGCATTCAATTATAAGACCCAATAAATACTCATTCATTTTAATCTCTTATTCATTTCTTTCTCTCCTATTCCCTGTCCACTACTTTTTGCATACTATACTATACTTGTCGCTACACTTATAGGTGGTAAGTATTACTCCATTACTCTATTAATGTATTAATCCCTTCATTACATACGATTAACACGATTTCCAGCAAACATACCATTTTTAAGACCTATTCATAAGAGATTTTACACACTTTTTCACATACAAACACATGGTTTTGTCAAATAAGATACTTTTCCAAACGCCCACTTAGACTTAGACATCAGCAAAGTATTCATTTAAATAAATATTTTAAAGTAATTTCTGGCATCTCCTCTCTTACAAGAGTATTCTCAATAAACATACAATTTATTAGAGAAATACAAATAAAAATTATGTAATTATTAAAAAAGAGTAGAAAATATATATTTGTATGAAACTGAGTGCAGATGTAGTGCGAGCCTAATCTCAGGGCTTATATTTTCATCAAACAAATCCTTGGATCGAAAACATGATGTTCTGAAAGGGAGAGATCCTCTGCGAAAACACCATTGATTTCAAAACAAACTAATCGTTTACTAATTAAAGCATCAATTATTGTGTACTTTTTGTTGCAGATATACGAAAGGCCATTATAGGCCAAACAATAGGGGGTCTTTCATTTGCATTCTTAGGGGGGCAGCCATTAGTCATAATCATGACTACAGCTCCCATTTGTTTATACATCAAAGGTACTTTTATTTCTATCTATACTTTCCTAGTTATCTATAAGTATTGCGATTATGTAACAAATGACTGGTTGTGTGGTTTGCAGTGATATATAACATATGTGAAGACTTTCAGCTCGATTTTTACGCGATGTATGCCTGCGTTGGGCTGTGGAACACCTTCTTCCTGGTCTTGTATGCCGTCTTTGATGTCTCCAGACTCATGAAGTGGTGCACCAGGTCTGACACATACACCCCCACACCCTCACACCCACACATGCATACATTCCATACACACTCATTCAAACATTCTTACATAAGTTACTACATTATAGTATATTTTCAAACAAATTCTTATTTAACTCATATCTAATTACTAAATTAATTCTTTCCCTTAAATCTATATTTGTGAACCTATTTTAGCAAATCCGCAATTTTATTAAAGTATATTTTATAAGATTTCTTATGGGAAATAAATTTGTTCTTTTGAAAATTAAAACTACATTTTTAGACGTTTGTGGTTTCTCTTCATACATATGATATGTCAATGAAATAGTCATTCATATGATGTAAAGACATATTATGTAAGATATCTACAGTAAAGTCATTTCAATGCACTGTTGATTCCGTGGTTTTTTGTGGTTTAAAGACTCATTATAATTTTGATTGCAAACATTTTTGGTATATTTATTTGTATTCAATAAATAACATGAAAGTCATTGTAAATTGTGCTCATATTTTTTAGATTAGCTTTTGAACAAATAATATTCCCTATATTTACTGATTTATTCAGTACTTTAGGGTATAAATGCAATACCAATGTGTGAATGATATTGTGTTTTAGAGTTTGTAAGTAAAATCAATTGCAATATAAAGAAAAGATCAGATTTTCATACAGTTTACAAAAAATGTATGGATTTATAAACTCATCCTTTTCAATTGACTTTACTTTTAAGTCTTAATAAAAGATTAATAACTTATTGTAACTAAAACTTATTGATTCTTTCATTTGAAATTTTTGTTACACTATTTCAATAGTTATATTGTTTTTAATCTGAGATTATTATACTACTGTACGCAATAATTTTTATTATTTATAAAGCTGAGTTATTCCATTGAGATACATTGTGTTATTTTAAGTTTACTGACAAGTCAATTATTTGAATTTAAAACGAATTTAATTTAAAACTAAAATGAAATGTGTTGCCTTAAAAAGATTTCAATAAATTTCATTACTATTAAGTGCACCAATCAATCAATATTTCATTGAAAGTCGTTTTGAAAGCAAGTTTTATATGCTTATAATGACGACAACGCCTGAAGCGAACAATTAGTTTTTAAAAGTTAAAACATTTTCAAAATGATTGAGATTTCACTATTTATTGATATTATTTGCCTAAAAATGACACAATTTATCAAATCATCAACTTTGTAGAGCATTTAGTGAATTACAATTATGTTTACTTTCATCTTATAGTTTACATTGACAATGTCAATATTTTTGGATCTACATTTTTATTATTATGTTGACTTATTTATTAATATGGTAAATTGTAATCATAATTATTATGTAAAATTCATGGCTCCTGAGAGTATGTTTTAAAAATTCATTGTCAATAAACTCATAATAGGAATTCATTTTTATTTTTAAAAAATTAAAAATCATTGTATTTAAAAAATAGCTCTTTATGTACATAGAATTCTTTATAATTAGTATAGTTTTTAGTTTTTATTTGACATTTAAACCATAAAAAACCTTTGAATTAATAAAAAAAATCATTGTTCAATTATTTGCTAAGAAAAGTATAATACATAACAAACGGTTATCTTTTTAGTTATTATTGTCATTTAAATGTTCATGTACAGTTAAGTTTGAAAATTCCCAATCTTCATATTTGAAAATATACTTTATACTTAAGACAATTTTTCAGTATATTTTTTCAATAGCATATTATTATACAAAACGGTATTAATATTTCGATATTAAATATACAACATAAATAAAACACACTATATTTTGAATATTTAATGATATGATACGTATAAAAGTGTTATAAAATGTGGCTGTCTTTCAAACACAGGTCTACGGAAGAAATATTCTCACTATTCATAAGTATAGCCTTTGTTGTGGATGCAGGTCGTGATGCCGTTAAAAGTAAGTCACTTAAGCGCATAAATGACACGTTTTTATTCTCCGGGATATAACACACACACCAACAGTCACTTATAAAAGCGAAAAGTGCTTCAAATGATAGACAATTTTCATATAAACCAAAATGTAGCTACAGTTTAGACGCGGTGCACGCATTTTAATTATGCACTTTATATACATTATTTGTTTTGTAAAATTAATTTCACATAGATCTTCATATATGGAAATAAGATCATTTAGACTGGTATATTTACTTGCAAAAAGGTCTATATGTTAGTTAAGATACTAGTAATATTAAATGTGTTTGCCCGCAATTTATTTTCAACTACATTTAATGTAAAACACTGAATCAAATATATATACACTTTCAAAAAATTTGTAGATTTATTTTCAACTCAAGATTCAGTTATAAATGTCAGCCAGTATAAGAAACCTTAGTTTTATTTGTATTGAAAAATGTGGCGATAATGTCACACAAAATATTTGCTACATTATAATATAACATGATAAAAGTGATAAGATTTTTAAGGTTTATTTTATGAGATGTAAGTGGTGCCTATATCATCCAGGAACATATCAATGAGATTACTACTAAACTATTTATTTGGCACAATTATATAACATAAAATTTATATTTTTATTCATAATATAGTTTTAATCTCATTTACAATCCAATATCCGATTAAAATAAATCTATTGATTACATAGAGTGCAGTACGAAAGAATTTCATATAATTTTAAATTAAATCTAAATGTAAGTGACGTTTAGATATTACTTATAATGAGAAAATTGAACCAAAAAACGCCTCAAAGGCAACATTTTTTTCAATTTATTTTTACAGTCGCTCCGGAATATTAATATTATTCCTCTCATTAGTGCCGGAATTTAATTCAATTATAAAGTGATTTCACAATTTATAACATATCTCTCGTTTGGTATATTAAGGCAATATATTTGTTTGCAATTATATTAGTAAAGATTTATATATTATTATTTAAAAAGATTTTTTAACGTGTACAAATAATAAAATATTTTTAAAAATAAAATATACAATATAAAGTAAAATAATTTAATATTTTCCTTAGTTAAATTAATTAAATAGAAATGTGTCCGACGGGTAAAATTGATGCCCGGATTAATCCATTTAAAGTTAAACTCATTTTGAGCGTAAAATTCTGTTATGACTCCAAATAAAAACATTTTTTGACCTAAAATATAGATTTTTTAATTACTGAATTACTGAAACATAGCACACAAAAAAAATTATTAAGTGAGTGTTTGTGTAGTATAATATTAACTACATTTTTGATAATTACTTTTAGGCTTGTGCTTTTGGCTTTATTTTACTAACTAGTTATTGATATTAAAAATATTGTTACTTTCCCTGTATAACACGTAAACACTGTTGGAAAACATATTTTACACTTTTATAAAAATTTTATTTTAATTGATTATAATGAGAGATGTAAATAAAATATGATAATTATTAACAATAATAAACCAGTATACAACTATACAGCTCAATATAATAACTAACAGTACATTGATATTTCATTTTATTCACATCTATCCTTATATAAATTAATTTTGCTTATAAATATTTGTATCTAGGTCAGTCTCAGAATTATTTATTGTGATATACTGATCTCTTAGAGAAAAATAATTACTTTAATATTTGATTTTATAAGTGAGTTATAGTGAACAGCAATATTGAGATGCAAAGGGATTCAGCAAAGGATGAAATTTATAAATTATACGTTTTGTCATTCAAGTCATGCACTTTTCTATCTTTACCTAATTTTCTCTCTCTCTCTCTCTCTCTCCCTCTCTCTCTCTCTCTCTCTCTCTCCGACTCATTCACAGTATAACTGATTATTAAAAAGAAATTCTAATCGAGAGATAAAACCCTTAATTCTTTGGGCAAAGAGTCTAATGATTATAACATAAAAATGAGTTCAGCTCTAAAGTGATGGCTTCACTGAATTTATATCAATATTTAATGAAATCCATCATATCTTATATCTCAGAGAAACAGCATTAAGCGAAGGTTACCAGAGATTAACAGCAAACCCAAAACCAAACAATAACTTTGAAAATGCTTTTTCTAAACAACAATCACAGCACTACTACTACTACTACTACTCATAGCCTTTCCAAAATAATTATTTTGCTCCCATTTTTTGTCATACATTTCATTACTATTATGATATCACTCCACAATACAAGCTATCTATACGTTAATTCAAAGATGATTTTTTAGAGATTATAAATTTCAAAATTTATCATTTTTAGTAAAAATTTTTCAAACTTTTATAATGACTTCTGCAATAAATACAGTAATAGTGTATTATATTTATGTTTAACTCGTTTACTATTTTCACTAATATTTAATTTATGGAAATGAAAATTCTTTTGCTTTTGTATAGTTTTAACGATAAAAATCTTATAACGTTATCACTCATAAATTATATGGCTCGCATTATGCTAATTTCTAGACATTTTGCAAACCCTTTTACTTTGTAGTTTTCCACCATTATTATTAAAGCATTTATTAAAATAATTATTTATAAAATCATCTAAAACTTAGTTTGAGTTTTGGGTTTTAGGGAATTGCAATTTAGTTTATCATTTGACATATTATATATAAAAGTCGAGTTTCTTAAATTATAAATAAATAAATGATTTATTTTTTACTTAAGATATATGTTTTTTGATAATAAATCTGTTATTTGAAGGACTAATTGAGAGATGATTAGGAAGTTGTAAAGATCTGTATATGAAACCAACCTTTACTTCTATATAAACACTAATAATTTCCAGTTAGAGCTCAACTCACATCTAATCCATTGCTCTCAAATTGATGAGAAATTATTTTCTCAAATATATGACAGTATTGATAATAATTTTATATATTTTCTATTTTTTAATTGAATTGAATGATTTTTATTTTACTTGGAAATAACTCAAATTCTGCATTCAGTTTAGTAATAATATTTGATTAAAAATCCAGTATTCTTAGATCTTTACTAAACATTTTGTGAGCATTTAATTAATTGAAATTATTTAAGTCAGGAATCGAGAATATATCGATATTAAACATTGTACATTTGTGGTCTTATAAAACTAAAATTGTCAATAATAATATTAATTAATGAAGGAATATTTCAATATAATGAATGACTAAATGATATTGAATGTATGCACTATTTATTGACACATTGTTTATACGAATTGTTTTGCAGACTTCCAAACGCATTATTATTCCCCGATTTGCACTGATATGCAATACAATAACAGTGTTTCGGTCGAGTCATACATATTTACACAAAACAATATTTCATTGGTAACCAACTTCACGAACAGCACCGACAATATGACAATGTTTGAGGACATAGTGTTGGGGTCGGAGCTGATATGCCGTCGCGAGAGTAGTCTACTGTTCCTACTGTTAATGTTGGGCACCGTATGGATGGCCGTCTCTCTATTCAATTTCAATAAGACGTCAGTATATGTTTCACTCTATACTCCCGGCTTTTGTTTTATCAAATATTTTCCAAACTTATTGAACATATTTTTGAACACATTTTTCTCTTGTAATGAATAATAAATTCTCTGCCATTCGTTTGAGACAAACATTTTTTGTTATTCAATATATATTTATCACATTTTCAAGTCATGTAAATCAATGTCAACACCCGATATCATACCATGTATTAGGTTGTGATCAAAAACTGTGTTTTTCTTATATATTATTTATTACTGATCAGTGAGTTATTTTCAAAATATTTTTACACTTTTCTAATTTATGTCTAGTTTTTAGATATATTCACATGAATTAACTTTTGAGAAACAACGGTAAATGCTTTTTATTTTCATATTAATAACGCTTTACACCAAAATTGCAGCCCTAATAACACTTTAATACCACCAGAATATTGCCAACATAATTTAATTAATCAAATCATATCTAATAGAAAAATTAATCAATAATTTTTGCACAAGTATTCATTAGAAAGTAATGCAAGAATAAGCAAAAATGAGTGAATAATGAATTATTGAGAAATATTTTGTTTTATTCAATAAAATGGTTATTCTTTGCATTTAAAATCCAAATCAATTGCAAAAAATATATTTTCAAACCAGAAGTTTATATCTATATAAATGTTTTGCAACAGAAAATCCAACAAATATTCATGGATTTGACTCACGATTTATTATAAAAAATAGTTTGACTCAAATGATGTAGAATTTTCAATTCATGTATGAAATGTCTAATGTTTTTGATAAATATTGAATTTTGATTATATGTTTGCGTTTGCCATACCATACCCCAGACCTTACTTACAGGCGAGCAAAAGGGAGCTATTAGCTGACTATGCGCTTCCCTGTGCTGTCCTACTGCTCAGCTTTATTGGATCCTTTGTCTTCAGGGATATACCAGGTATGCCTGAACATGAACACACAATTGCATTACTCTATTGTCGAGGCGATGATGAAGAGGCGCTCATCTCATCACTCAATCAAATATCATTTCTCACGCATTCTGACGGACACACAGAAGAAACACATTTATATCCTTTTAGAGCACAGAAACCAATGATAGAAATATTGACTAAAAAACTCGTTTAACAGAAACGAGACGAAGAAATCATATTTTGAGTGTCGCGTCGAGTGAATGCCTTAAAACACATTAACTTGTGATACAGTTTTGTGCTGACTCTTCACCATTTCATTCAGTCATTCATTCATTCACTTAAATGACAACATATTTAATATCTGTTATGCAAACAGACTTTTTTCAAAAAGATTTTATATTCAAATATATTTCAGATTAACTCTAAATATGTTGACAAAATTTTGAATGAATGAGAAAAAATGAGAGTTTTCGACAAAACTTAATTAAAACTAATTTACAATTAGCTGAAAATAAAGACATAAATTACATTAAAAAACCAAATCTAATGTTAAAAAAATTCTTTCACGAAACAGTGGAGCACTTTCGGTATAGCAATACATTTGAGTTCAGAAGAGCCCGTCTGGAGTACCTTCCGTGGACGGCATACATCGGTTGTATGGGACTGGGATTCTCTCTCTCATTATTATTTTTTATGGACCAAAACATTTCGGCGGCTATGGTTAACAACCCGTGCAACAAGTAATGACCCCTTTCCTCGCTTATCATTTGCGCAAATGATTTCATTATTACTAAAACAATAATAACTGACAAATGATTGCCCATTGACTTGACAATAGACTAAAGAAAGGGTGTGCCTATCACTTGGATCTGTTCGTTGTGGGCATTTTGAACGGCTTCCTATCGATGTATGGCCTGCCGTGGATGCACGGAGTACTGCCCCACTCGCCCCTACACGTCCGCAGTCTGGCCGATGTGGAGGAACGGGTAGATCAGGGACACGTATATGAGATGTATGACCAATAATATGCTTATAACGTATTTTCTATACATATCCTCACTGTTTATATAATATATGACATATAAACAGAAATATATTTTATTCTTATGTTTGCATTACTTTTATTCACTCCATTCTAACTGTTATTCTGTTATCATTATTATTGTTATGCCTTATGTTATGTTGTGTTTGCATTCAATCGTTTTGATGCAATATTTCTCATACCATGTCTTCTCTTCTTCTTATTCTCTCCCATAGTATTGTCAAAGTCAGGGAAACACGGCTGACAGGCATTGTGTCTCATATACTAATAGGACTGTCGGTTTTCCTGCTTCCCTACCCATTGGCATACATTCCGACGGCAGTACTGAACGGCCTATTCCTATATATGGCAATAACTTCACTAAATAGTAATCAAATGTTTGAAAGGATAACATTACTATTTATGGAACAAGTGAGTGATCATCAGCTCAATCTCATTATAATGTCTATCTATGTCTATCTGTCTATCCGTGTCCTGTTAGGCCGCATACCCGCCTAATCACTACATCAGACGGTGTCCTCAACGCAAGATCCATATGTTCACTCTCTGCCAAATGGTTCAGTTAGGACTCATGTGTTTCTTTGGCTTCAGTCCCTGGCCGTACGTCAAGATGGTCTTCCCTATCATTATTCTATTACTACTGCCATTTAGGTAAGCGCTTGTCAAACATACGTAACCACTGCCCACCCCATCCATAATTGATAGCCATCCGTACACATATCTGTCTGAATGCAATATACGGTGTAATCGATTGATATATAAGTAATAATGAATTAATTTTCATGTCCAGACATAAGATCGTTCCCGTCGTTATCGATAATAAATATCTCGAAGCACTCGACGGTGAGAATCAATAATAACGGCTATAATCATAAACTATTATTCAATTTGTATATAATATGATATATAAAGGATGAAGATGTTCGGGACTATAAATTAGATTAATTGGATTATATTGAGCACAAGAAATACTTTTGATTTGTATCAAAACAAATCATAAATAAATTGTATTTTAATGTTAGAAGAAATGTTAATAATTTAGAAGAATTGTATAAATGACTGAATCACTGAATGACTGAATGACCAAACACCAAACACCAGACACACCGTGCGCTGGGATTCACGTTTTCATCACTAATATGACCATCACTTAGAATAATGGTATGGAAAGGGATGCCTCACTCCGAGACCAATGAGTTGTCTTTCAGCACCCAACCCACTGAACCCACTGAACCCACTGAACCGGTCATCTATTATATTACACAGACTTATCGCCGATAATTGATTGATAAGTCTCTCTCATCATCAGACAAACAACACATAACAACTCGACACCAAAATAATTAAATTTACAATAACTGCCACTTTATTATAGCCTATAGTCAGCAGACAATGTATTCACGAACTCAACAAAAACAACATATTCTGAAGCAACACATTAATGAAGAAATTATATAAAAGGATAATATTTTTTTTACTTCATGTCTTAAATTGTTTTGTTTGTGTCTCAAAATCATCGCTCATTTATATATAAAACAGAGATCGCATACAAAGTACACGAAAAATCAAATAAAAGCTGATTATCTTTAGTAACGAAAAATAATTTTATTATTTCTGACTCTCTTTCTGAAGTGATTCTTACAAAATGTATGGACTCTGTGTTGAAATGTGAAAAGATTACACAAAAACGTATGTTATTATGTAATAACTAAATCATTATATAAAACAATGAATGACTAAATGATAGGCGACGGCCCCATAGCACTCAACGCATTATATACAGTGAGATATACGTCTTGATAATCATTGCAATTATTAATCTCTTTTCATAATTCATATAATTATCAAAACGTTTGAAACGCTTGTGTATTGGTGTTTATGGCGACCACTCTTTTATATGGCATCCGTTGTAATGAATATAATATTGTAATTAATAATAATTTTAATACAATTTACGGGTTTTCCGACCACATGATGAATCGAAATATTAATCATTCATTAAATATGAAAAAATTGTAATTAAAATAATAATATTGTTATTCAACTACTCCTTTGAACTGATAAATTGTAAAAAGTTTTAAAATATTTAAATTCAATTGAAAATTATGCACAAAAAACATTTCTCTATGAGATTTTTACAATAGAAATATATATAAAGTTATATAAACACATAATAAATGCATATTTGGAGATGAATTTGAAATTCATTTGATTATTAATTAAATCACAAAACTTTTCATGAGTTTGATCGTCCAAAGTTTCATATAAAAAAAGTTTTCAATTAATTAATAATAAACAAATGAAGTTTTAATGAAGATATTTAACTTATTAGTGAGACTTAAATATTTAAACTAATTACTAGAGAGTTTTAATTTTCATTTTTCTCAAGATATATATAAGAAATGATAAATAAATATATAATATATTATAAATATATAAATAAGAATTAATTATTTAAACAAAACAAACTTTAATCTCACTTTTAAATGAAACCAAAATGAAAATGGTCATTCGACACAAACAATTTTTAGTAAAATGTTTGCTCAAAAAACTTTTTTGCGTTCAGTTCACGGGGACATTTATAAATGAATTTGTTTTGTTTGTCCGCTGTTTTTAAGTTTATTTTGTTGAACGAAAACCTATTAATATTTGAAACGAGATATTGAAACACGAAAATCATTAGTTTTGTGATCAGAAGCGGAAAAGTGTTTACTATTATTAATAATAATGCGTTCATTTGTCACAAATTTTAAAACCAAAAGTTTTAAAACCGGTGTTTGGAAAGTATATGTGCGAGAAATGGATGATAGCGTATGGGTTGGCCCGACACTGGCATTGGACTGGAAAGGGATGATGGGATGTGATATTTGTTTCGTACATTAATAGCTCAATATTTTTTTGTGTAATAGTTTTGAATGAGAAACAATGAATTGTTAATATTTGACACAAAATTTGAACGTTAATTGTATTATTGTTTGGAGTTTTGTTGGGAAAAGCACTGCAAATGATTTGCGTTAATAAGTTATTGAATGATACAAAATACACAACGAGTTAACTGCCGGACCATTAGATACATCTCTTTTTCAACACTTAATTATCAATATTATGTTTGTATTTAATTGTCGATTACTTATTTATAGTTTTAATTTTTCATATACACTAGTTCAAATTGTAAAGTATTTTAATTTGACATTTTTTAGTCATTAAGATAATATTATAATTATTTTATGAAACATATATTGTTAAGCAATATTTGAATTGTAAAATATATGATAATGTGAGGAAAGATCTTGTCGAAAGGGAACGGGATGTGAATTGAGTGCAAATGATCCTTCGGATTGATCACTTGATACATGTTTAATAAAAACATTTATTAAACATGCCATTTGTCTCATCATAATGTTATGTTAACTCTATTACTAAATAGTAACGCGATTGCACTCCAAGTGTTTCAAGTCTTACAGAATTGTATCACTTTTCTAAGTATTGTGAACACAATTGAAACGATTGATTGTATTTTGTGTCCAAAGATTAGTTAATTTCAAAATGAATAATCTGTTGCAACAAAATATATATATTATGTAAAAAATATATAATCAAAAGTGAGACAACTCTTGGAATCGTGCCTTCAGTCCAATTATTATTCAAAGACTAAACCGTTTTAATCACATTTGAAAGGTTCAGACACAAATTGTTAATCAATCCGAGGGTTTGCCAATAGGTATAGGGATTAACACCAGAAAATAATAGCGTGTTAATCATACAAGAAAAAATAAACTATTAAAATGTAAAGCTATGTTGATTTTGAATCAACGAAATACTTGTTAAATAACATTTGGTTCAAAATGACAGAGAATAAAAATTATAAAAGATATAAAAAGCAAGACATTTATCATTAAAAACCAATTTGAATGCATTTAAGCGCTGGTCAAACAGTACTCATGAATATATTACTAATTATGTTATGTTTATAATAAAACAAAAGTAATTCTTATTTATAAATCAAATTCTGCAATGACTTACAGAATGTATACTTATTTCGATAAAACAAAAAAGTTTTACCTCTAATTCAATTGATTATTCAAACAAAACACGAAATTATAATAGTTATCAGCCATGAAAAACAAGTTCACAAATCAATTATAAATCTGTAGCTCATATTTATGTCAATTATTTATATTAAAAGTAGATTTAATAGCAATTGATAATTAATTATCAGCGCAATTGTTGATCAATAAAATGATTTATAAAAATAATCGTTTTACACCATTATTATTGCAATTATTTTGCTATACAGGTAATTCATTATTAACACCTACTCAACGTTAACAAGTAAGTGAAACATGAAATAGAAAACATATTTTTAATGACATTTGTCATGAGAATCATTACAAACAATTAATTTATATTTAATGATTAATAAATGACTATTCAATCGATTTAATAATTAATAACTTATGAATCCATAGCATATGAGTGAGCAGACATATACCGGTAAGTTGTAGGCGTTTGTGGATTAACTTAAGATCACTTTTGTAGTGATAAAATGAAACTACTGTACAGTACATTCATTTAACGATTAATAGAAGCCATCATTTATTAAAATAAACTTTTTGTAATAAATACAATGATTGGTTAGGTACTCAAAAACAACAAATAAATGACTTAAAAACAAAAGTAAAATATTTCAAAATATATTAATTGACAGAAAATCACAATTAGTTTAAAGTATTTGCATTAAAGATCATACAATTTGATTCATTTCATAACTTGGGTTATCGTGACTATCGAGTAATGGTTGAGAGCTCTTGTCGTTTCTGATGATGGATTTGGATGAGACGGGCATCATATTCAACACTTTACTTAAATTGGCACTAATTAGCGACCCCTTGGGCTCCGGTATATTCGTGTCTTCGAGGCCTCGATGTATGGAAATGTCATCGAATTCGGTGTTATTCCTCAAATCTCTTGTCATTAGCTCGAACTCCAGGTATTCCTGTGTCTCAAGACTTCTTTTTGTGGGCTTTTTATACATTTTGAGGAGAAGTGAAGAACAGACTACGGATACAGAGGAGAGAGCCATCGCCGCCGATCCCATCCATGGCTTTAAGACTATACCCCAAGGGAGGAAGACTCCGGCGGCCATTGGGATGCCTAACAGGTTGTAAACGCTGGCGAATAAAAAGTTGAGTCGAATTCGTCGGACCGTCCGCCGGGACAAATCAATGGCTCCGATCACGTCCAGCAAATCATTCTGTCATTCAATCGATACAAACAATTCAAATACAATCAATTTTAACACTAATTCAATGATAACTCACTCTCACGAGCACCACATCGGCCGCCTCGACGGCCACATCAGTGCCATTGGCTATAGCGATGCCAATGTTGGCCTGGGCTAAGGCGGGCGAGTCGTTCACGCCGTCGCCAACCATAGCTACTTTGATGCCCGTCTCTTGCAATTGTCTGATTTTCTTAACCTTATGTGAGGGCAACACTTCGGCAAACACGCGAGTGATGCCGACCTGTTTGGCAATGGCTGCCGCAGTCTTCTTGTTATCACCGGTCAGTAAAATCACGTCGAGTCCCATCTTCTTCAGGGAATATACAGCCAAATGTGCCTCTGGTTTGACGGTATCGGCCACTGATATCATGCACTTGAGGTTACCGTTGACGGCGCAGAGTACGGCTGTTTGTCCGCATTGTTCGTGTTGTCTCATCAATAGATCCATATCTGCGGAGACCTCGAGTTCGTTGCGAGTCATCCACTCTCTATTGCCCACTAATACTCGATACGATTTGTTATCCAAATTGAGTTCATTGTTATTAGAGAGCATTGAATTTGTATTAGTCTTATGAAATTCAATTTGAATGTCTTTGAGATGCAGCACATCATTTATCTCAAAGTAGTTCCCGGCGCTAAGATTCCGGTCGACGGCCGTGTAGTCTATGGACACTCGATGGCCGACGAGAGTCTCATAACTGGTGAGTCACTACCAGTTGCCAAACGGGTCGGCTCTCTATTGCCCACTAATACTCGATACGATTTGTTATCCAAATTGAGTTCATTGTTATTAGAGAGCATTGAATTTGTATTAGTCTTATGAAATTCAATTTGAATGTCTTTGAGATGCAGCACATCATAGCTTGGATTTGCAATCAATTTGTCGTTTAATTTCAATTCATTCATCAGATTTTTGTTGGACGAGTTGGTAATGGAGTCGATGTTAGAGACGAGGCATTGGAGACCAAAGCCGGGAACTGAGACAAAGTTATCGCATGTGCCGAAGACGTCGATTTCGAGGGCTTTCTTCACATAATTACAAATGGCGTCAGCGATGGGGTGTTCGGAGTTGTTCTCAGCGGTTCCGATCACTGCCAACAAGTGCTTCAAATAACGTAAAGGAGACAATCGCTCCTCTTTTGTCGTATTAAACAAAATAATTTTGGTTACGATTGGTGTCCCGTGTGTTATGGTTCCCGTCTTATCAAAGACAACACATTTCACTTTGTGTGCCATTTCTAGGGGTTCGGCGCCTTTTATTAGAATCCCATTAATAGCTCCGACACCCGTTCCCACCATTACGGCGGTCGGTGTGGCCAACCCTAATGAACAGGGACAGGCGATGGACAGGACAGTGAGTGCGCATTGAAACGCAAACTGAAACACCACTTCATGGTCCGAGATGTCCACGTATTGGTACATATGATAGGCGCGAATCACTTCGTGGAAGTAATAGCCTATAAGAATCCATGAGATGAGTGTTGTTATCGACACAAACAGGACTCCGGGAACAAAATAGCCGGCGATTCTGTCGGCCAACTGTTGTATCGGCGCTTTGGATGTCTGCGCCTCTTCTACTAACTTCACGATCTGCGAGAGAGTCGTATCCTTTCCCACGTGAGTCGCGCACAATATAATCATTCCGTTTTGGTTTATGGATCCCCCGATCACTAGAGAGCCGACCCGTTTGGCAACTGGTAGTGACTCACCAGTTATGAGACTCTCGTCGGCCATCGAGTGTCCATAGACTACACGGCCGTCGACCGGAATCTTAGCGCCGGGAACTACTTTGAGATAATCGCCTCTCTGGACGAGTTCCACATCAATCGACTTCTCCGTAAGCGTTCGGTTCAGATTGGAATCCCATTCCACAAGAATAGCTTCCGTGGCCTGAAGTGACATCAATTTGGCCAACGCTTCCGATGTCTTGCCTTTGGCGATGTGTTCGAGCCATCGGCCCAATGATATGAACACCAAAAGCATTGGCGGTGTCTCGAAGAATGTACGCGGGCTGTGATGGGCGCCCATCGCCATGAAGTACAGCAGTATTGCCACACTATAAAAGTAGGCGATATTCGTGGCCAACATTATCAGCACATCCATGTTGGCCATCCGGTGCTTAATTGCCTTCCAGGCCTGTATATAGAAATAACGGCCGCCAATGAACTGCACGGGAGTTGACAACAGGAATAGGAAGAAGTTTTCGGCCGACAGTCCCGGCAGAAGACAGCACATCATGTGGTCGTTGTCCTCGACGGACATCTTATGCATGAAATACATCATAACTATCATCGACGGGACGCCGAACAGCAGCGAAAAGAAGAAAGAGTTCCGCCATTTCTTCACCTCTTCTTTTTGCGACAAATACGAGGCGTTTGTCATCGAGAGGTCTGTAATGGGATAGCACTCAAAGCCGAGATGGTTGACGGCGTCGGCTATATTCCGGGGACCCGTCACCTCCGGATCAAACACGAAGCGACCCTTATTTGTGGACAACGACACGACCGCACTCTTAACGCCCGCGAGTTTGCCAATCGTTGACTCGATTTTGTGGACACATGAGGAGCACGTCATCCGTTGGATCCTAAGCTCGATCTCTCCATCGCTCGTCTGGTATGACTCGATGACAGTCGACGGATACCCCAGTTCTGTGACAATGTTTGCGATCTGTTGGGGCATAACATAGGCGGCGTCGTACCTGATCTCTGCCTTTTGACTTAACAGCGCCACTAATACGCCTTCAATGCCCTCCACTTTACTTAAGTTGCGCTCAATGTTGGCCACACACGAGGCGCAGGTCATGCCCGACACCTTTAGCACACATTTCTCCAAATCATTCAAATCGATGCCAATTCTGTCCGAATATTTCCCTTTTGACTGACTTTCTGGTCGTTTGTACACAATATGATCGCTCGTAATATTAGCAACTTTTTTATGTTTCTCTGAGTTTGGCGTTTGAATGGTCACTGAATTGAGTGGACTGTCGTGGTTGACGGAGGGTTTGTCAATGACTTTGCAGTCAAACCCCATTTCGTCGATACGCTGAGCGATCTCTTGTGCCGACACTATCTGACTGTCGAACTGAAGGAAAGCCTCGTTTTCTTTCAGATAAATCTCGATATTACGGACGCCAGCCATGGGCTCAACCACTCCTTTGATATTATTGACACAAGACATACAAGTCATGCCTAAGATCTCCAGCCAAGCGCTCGACGGCCNAAGTGTGAATTATTGATAGTTAACGCCAAAAGTGGTTTATTCACGGATCGAGAGCTGCAGAAAGTGTTTATCGAGATGTACGCAGACAAGTGCCCAAAGTTTGAATACTTGGAAGTGGATGGCGACCATTACGTCCATCTAACCCGTCCTTACGACGTCGCCCCTCATATCAAGCGTTTCTTAAGTCCAGCCATCGATGAACTTAAAGCTACCAATTGATTGATACTCACGAATATTTTTGTACTCAATTATGTAATGAATCTATTTTTATATCAAATGTTTTCTATTTTTTGTTACAAAATAATAAATTTATATTTTAAAATTAATTAAAATGTGAACGGATTGGAAATACAGGTGTTCCTTGGAGTGGAGTTCCCCTTTTCCTTCAACTCATTACATACTCTATTGATTGCCATTTGATTTAAAGTGAACTTTCAGTCAATTAGATATTACTGTTATAAATGAAAGTTATTTAATATTACAGACAATATGTGTCTTAATATTTAATAATATAGCGGTACTTGTATTGAGTGATTTGCATAAAGTGTTGTGTCATGTCATTCCTCTGGTATAACATGATATTAAGCTTTCAATTATAAGGTAATAATAATTACTAAATATGAATACGAGCTATAATTTGGAGTCAATTTAAAGCAAGTGTTGGTGCGTTAAGGGGAACGGTAGTACTAGTCATACAAGTGTTTATATAATAATTAAACTGTTTGGTGATAACGACCCTCTAATGCAAGTACTGATCAATTGATGTGTTTTCTCAATCCATATCTCAATATTGAGAGCAAAAAACTAAAATTAAGAAATTGATTATAAATGTATAGATAATGAATATAACTTATAATATGATATTTAATTGATTATAACGTGATTTACAGTCAATTCAGTCACCACTCAATTGCATTCAATTGTTGCGCAAAACTCCGATTGACAGCCAATGCACTGTAAGTTTAATGTGACGCTTTCATAGTGAGTTAAGCCGTTCTAAAACTTCATTAATAATAACTGTAGCGTTATGTGGAGCGCAAGAACGGCGTAACTCTCACGAATAGGATCTAACATTTGTCAGTGCATTAAGGATATCGCAGTCGACGTCTGTTTTGTATTGAAAAACAAGTTTTAATTTTAATTTAAAAAATCCTTTTTTGAAAATACAAACAAAACATTGAGTTTTCAATGAGTTTCTCGTATTTTGTTCACTAAATCATGATTTGAGCGAAAGTTTTATGTATTAAATGATTATTATTTATAAAACCAGTGTTTTGTACCACAAATGAGACATATTTTTGTTGACATTTAACGAAGTGATTGTAATAATCGTAATAACTATCTGTCATTAATTGCCTAATCATGACATCACCCGATCTGATCTGCGGTTAACTATCGGTTAAGCCGACGTAACCGCTGATGACATGTTTGGCGTAAACCTTGGGATCAAATGAGATGTCACTTAAAATGAGTTGAGATTTCGTTGAGACGTTTGGGTGTCTCAAGAAAGCCTTGAATTGAATTAAATTTAATTAATTGTTATTTATTTAATGAGATTTTATTTATACAAACATACTATACATTTGTTATACATTTAATAATAAGTTATATAATAATATCGTAATTATAATAAAACAATAATAACTACAATCATATTAATAATACCATTGAATACAATGAGTGAATGTGCGGTGACTGCAAGCAATCAATTGAATGGTTTGTCAGCCAATCGTTAACTCATTTCTTATCATTTGTTTTGATTAATAGTACAAACGATAAGAAATAAATACTTTAAATACTTGTCTCTCACTTCTCAATGCAATTATGCACTCAAATAACCTTTAAATCTATTGTTTTCTCCATTCACTCACGTGTGGTGTCTATCACTGAATATTATAGATAACTGTAATTCCGGTGGAAGTGATGCCCAACTGAATGCTCGCAAAATGAATTCTTGGCTACAGATCAATGGCATGACTTGTAACTCATGTGTCAATAACATCAAAGGTGTTGTCCTACCCATCGATGGTGTACTTAATATAGAGATCTATTTGGAAGACTCCAAAGCCTTCCTCACGTACGACCCGACCCTCACCTCCGACCACACGATCGCCAATCGTATCGATGATATGGGCTTTGAGTGCAAAGTCATTGATAATATCGATGACCACATAAATGGTATAATTATTTAGTTATAATTTAGTTTAATTTCTAAATTAATTTTTTTTTATTTAAAGACATAAATGAGTGGAAAGAGCGGCCGTCGAGCGCTTGGCTGGAGATCTTAGGCATGACTTGTATGTCTTGTGTCAATAATATCAAAGGAGTGGTTGAGCCCATGGCTGGCGTCCGTAATATCGAGATTTATCTGAAAGAAAACGAGGC